GGAGCATAGATATATATATACAACACATTAATTGTGTATATATCTATGCTATAAAATATGCGTTGTATATAGTATCATGTATGCTAGGAGCCATATAAACATTCTTGCTCACCCCATGCACGGGAGAAGAGCGTCTGTCATCGAAGAGCGAACAGTCAAACGAAATAAATGCCGAACATATTTTCACAAATCGTATATATTATTTCATTTTACTTTATCGCCGCTCTCCACCCCCCCCCTCCCCGTCGGGTCGGATATATGATGCGATTCAGCTATTGATCTGCGGGCACTTGCTATTGGAGCTTTAACCGTACGTACGGCTATTGGGAGCAGTCTACAATCTCGCTTAATAATCATGGATACGATTTCATCAAACTGCAGATGGCGCCACGTGTTTCTCGCACATGTTAAACCAGACCACCCGGGTCAATATTTGATCGATTAACGAATCAATCATTTGATCGTCATGCTCTGGCCAAAGAACGAACCTGCTTACAACGCGGTGTTTACGCGGACGGTGAAAATTCCTGTATCAACTGCATGTACCCTCGTTTCACCTACTAACCAGAAATCTACTACCGCAGCCTATTATAGCGACCTCGTAGCCATAGTTTCTGCTGCTAACCAAAAGTGGAAAGCGATGAAATAAATCCGCGTGGGAAGGGAAGGGCGCGTCATGAGGTGATGAGGTGGACGATGGTGCGCACGCGCATGTATCGATGCACACGGGAGAGTTTCTTCTCTGATGAGCTACTGCATTCACTCCCCCTGCTGTTCCAGGTCCGGTCTTCACTCCCCCTGCTGTTCCAGGTCCGGTCTTCGCTCCCCCTGCTGTTCAAGGTTTGGTCTTCACTCCCCCTGCTGTTCCAGGTCCGGTCTTCACTCCCCCCTGCTGTTCCAGGTCCGGTCTTCACTCCCCCTGCTGTTCCAGGTCCGGTCTTCACTCCCCCTGCTGTTCCAGGTCCGGTCTTCACTCCCCCTGCTGCAGCGAGGCGTTGAGCGGCCAGCGATCGCCTTCGTCCGCACGCAGCCGCCTCAGCGGACTCTTCTGCCCCGCTGCCGACGTCTCCGAGGACGACAGCCAATCAGAGTACGAGGACGCGACCGAAGAGCCACCTGGTGGACCGACGGCGGGCGAGGCGACCGCTCGGCGGAGAACAGCAGCGCCACCTGTGAACGAATCGACGACGGCAACGCCACCTAGTGGACGGACGAACGTGTCGCATGTGTCGCGGAGCGCGCGGACGAGGCGGAGTCGGTGGCGCGACCTGGTGGCGGGGTCGTCGGCATCTGCGGCACCGTCGCCGGCGATGACGAAGAAAGACTCGTGGCTGCATAAATTATTCCTCGGGCGGTAGCCACCCCCGCTCCCGCATCGTCCCAGCGCATGGCACAAACAAAAAACAGCAGCAGCAGCAGCAGCAGTAGCAGCAGCAGAAGCAGCAGCAGTAGTAGCAGCAACAGTAGCAGCAGCAGCAGCAGCAGCAGCAGCAGTAGTAGCAGCAGTAGCAGCAGTAGCAGCAGCAGCAGCAACAACGAAAACAGCAGCAGCCGCAGCATCCCCGCTACAGAGCACAGTGCTAGCGACATGTTCTCTTGTTTTGCTCGCCGCTCTAGAAGGATATTTAGCGGCCCATTACTGAGACGGCCACGTACGCCTGCAGTCCCTTGCTCCTCGAGCAAGTCGGCGGTTGCCTAGCAACCGACAAAGCATCCTCGTCTACAATTCCAAAAGGAGGCTGCGGTCGTCTCCGTCTCTCTTGCTTGCGCAGCGCACCATATAGAGAAAGAGCGCGGTCGCCATGGCAACAGCTTTTCGCCTGGCAGTTCGCGAGTCTCTAACGTAGAGTTTTTTCGTTATATAGTAGCAGCCACGCTGCGAGCGAACATTGACTAGGAAAGCGTCAGGTGCCGCCCTCTGCTGGTCGCGTAGGATATAAATAGTAGTGTGACGTCATCTCGCGCGGGAAGTCGTGCGTCACTGTCGAGTCTTGGGATACCCAATGGGAGGAAAACTCATTCTAGCTCCTTTTTTTAAATGTAATGTCAGAAAAAAGTGGTTGGTTGTTACGTGCCGTATGACATTC